CCGATAGTTATAATTGACAGACTGCTGCCCGATTATTCATCATTTGGCGAGCGGTCAGCGCCACGTGTACACTATCTTCCAAGCCCGGCATATTAAGTGCTCACAGCTGACGTGCGCATCGCCAGGACTGCTGTGGCACGTGTGGAGCGGGGCGATGGTGGCCGTCTGACGGGTGCCCGCCTCTGGCCCAGGTGATGAAGTTTCTGGCCGTGCTAAGCGCCGAGTCCGGCGTGACCATCATGGGCTGCACGCGCTACTCGCTGGAGGACAACGCCGGGGCGCGCGTCTGCGCCACGCGTTCGTGGTGAGACGCTCGGCCGTGTGCGGCTCCAGATCGGCACGCGCGCCCCACGGCGCCGTGTGCTGCTGACGCTTTCCAACACCGAAATGGCGTAAAAGGACCACTGCGGGCGCCCCCAAAACGCTAATTAACAAGATAGCATGCCAAAGAATGCCGGATGGCGCCCTGTGCACACGCGTTGGTTGACGATGTTGGTTATGATGTTCCCGCTAGTTTTGCCAATTTCTGATGGGTTATGCATTCCCCTGTCTAATCGATGATCTGTTCTAACTGGCTTGATGCTCAAGGTCCGGCTAGCCGTATGTGTACCAGGGCGACGAGCGCGCTGAGCTGGCGACAGCGAGCGCCCACACGCCCCCCGGGCATGGAGAGCCGTGCGGTGGTGGGGAGCAGACGGCGATAGCTCCGCGTGACGCGTCGCGTCGCCGGCCGCAGGTCGCGCAACGAGGAGATCCAGTTCCTGGTGGGGTGTATCGCCGAACTCTCGGAGGAGGAGGAGAACCAGCTGCTGCAGCCGGGCAAGAACGACTTCTCGGTCATGTACAGCACGCGGAAGAAGTGCGGCCAGCTCTGGCTGGGCCCGGCCGCCTACATCAACCACGACTGTGACGCCAACTGCACGGTAACGGACGCACGCGTCCGCGCGCCGACCGCGCTGACGTGTGAAGAGGGGTGTGTGCGGCGTACCGACCGCGCTGACGTGTGAAGAGGGGTGTGTGCGGCGTACCGACCGCGCTGACGTGTGAAGAGGGGTGTGTGCGGCGTACCGACCGCGCTGACGTGTGAAGAGGGGTGTGTGCGGCGTACCGACCGCGCTGACGTGGAGAGGGGTGTGTGCGGCGTACCGACCGCGCTGACGTGTGAAGAGGGGTGTGTGCGGCGTACCGACGCGCTGACGTGGGAGGGGTGTGTGCGGCACACCACCGCGCTGACGTGTGGAGAGAGGCGTGTATACAGTGCTGCGTTTGCTGCACAAACAAACTATTATGGTTAGTCATCTGTAGCCATAAACAGTTCCGTTTTAGTTGGATTGAGTGGTTTTGCAATAGTCATCAAGCGATTCCATCAGGACGAATTTGTGGTAATCCGCCCCAACGGCTTGAATGAACTGCGAGGGTGCGCGACCAAACGTTCAGCCCTTAAAGTGGCGTCACCTCCCCGGAAACATAAGCATTCGTACGAATCGTTTGGTGACGGGCATCGTTTATACAGCGCAGCCTAGTCGGAAGCTAGCTGGCTTAGCCGAGCCAGGCGGGCTGGCCATTCTGGCGTAGATTACCAACACAAGTACTACGGGTGCCTAAATCGACGTCTAAATGAGGTTTCAGTCGGACTTTGTTCACACATTGCATTCTCACACCGCTGCGTCCACTGCCAAATGGTCCGCTGGCTGGGCCTGCGGGGCCGCCGGCCGGCGTACGATGCTGACCGCGTGCCTCGCGTGCGGCAGTTCGTGGCCACCGGCCGGCAGACGGCAACGGTGCGCACGCTGCGCGAGATCCAGCCGGGCGAGGAGGTCACCTGCAACTACGGCGGCGACTTCTTCGGCGACAACAACTGCTACTGCGAGTGCGAGACCTGCGAGAGGTGAGCTCGCCGCGCTCTGATCACAGATTCCGCGAGGGGGGGGGGGGGGGTAGCGCTACCAGCCGCCGCCAGCGTGTTGGACACTAATTGGCTATTGGGTATGAGACGTCTGCAAAGCAAAAGAGTGGCCTGCCAGTGTCATTAGGGTAAAGTAGTAGCATGCTCACTGACGTGGTTCAGTGCTTCCTCTAATATCGATATCGGGCAAACCAATCCACGACATGCTTTCCAGTGCTTACATAACGATTTTTGTTCGAACGTCGTGCATATAATCGAGTGCTGTTTGCTTTCTTAAGTGATGTAATAATGTGTAATAATTTTGGTAAGTAGCAGTAGTTCTACACTGCCTTGCGGTCGGATATCCCCTCCACTGTTACTTCCCCTGTGGCGTGCCAGCCCGGGCCTGGCTGCTGAGCGTTACTCGCGCCGCCCGCAGGCGACAGCGGGGGGCGTTCTCCCAGCCGGCGGCCGCCGCGCAGCCGGAGGGCTACCGGCTGCGCCACTCGAGTCGGCGCCGCGCCGCGCCGGCCGCCGGGCCCGACCGGCTGCGCGAGACGGTGGACGCGCTCCGACAGCGCGGGATGACGCGCTACGACGCGCGCATTATCGCCGAGCAGCGGCTGCGGCTGGCGCCGGAGCCGCGCGGCCGCGCCGGGCCGGGCCGGCGGCTGGCGGCGCGCGCCGCCCGCCCGCCAACCAAGCGAAGCCCGGCCGGCGACGACGTCAGCGAGTCGGCCAGCGGCGGCAGCCCGTCCAGCGACGACAGCGCCTCCAGCGGCGAGACGCGTTACGAGCTGCTGGGCTGGCGGCGGCGGCGGCGCGCCGGCGAGCGGCGCCGGCTCCGGCTGGACTTCGACGCCGGCGGTCGGGACGGCTGACCGGCCGCGGCCCGCTGCCGCCGCCGCCGCCCGCTACCCCGTATTCCATAGTACCAGTACAACACTACTATACCTCGGCGGCGCGGCTGCTGCGTAGGCCAGACCTGTCTCCGCTGCGCTGTGCATACCACTGCTTTTGCAGACTGTGTTCATGGTTCGCCCGTACCGGACGCGGGCACGGTGTTCATTGATTCCGCCGCGCTGGCGCCGGCGATGTCCAGCCCGTGCGCGCGCTGCCGTCCGCCGGCCTGACGGCGGCGATTTTGTACGTAACGTTCCGTTGCCAGGTGTTGCTCTGGGCGGCGCCCGACGTGGCCCGCCAGGCGGCCGAGGACCGGCGAGCAAGTCTCCTTTTGATCTCATCGTTTCGAGGGAGTGGTTGACTTGGTCGGGTGTTGGTCCCCCGCTTCGGGGCATTGTTATGTGGCTCCGATCAGGGGAGTTGTGTTCATAGTTCAACGCCATCTGATCGAAATAGATGTAGATGTTTCTAGCCGTTGTCCTCCCTCGTCGGGGTCCACGGCGATACGCGGAGTCAACACGTGGCGCGGTGTTTGTCACCGGTGCGTCAGGTTTGCAAAATGGTTCCAGAACAGCGCCACTGAATAAACGCTGGCGTGGAAAAGGCAGTGTAATAAGAGTAGATAGCGCCCTTTCCCAATGCCCACTTATCGATGCGCTGGGATGCGGTCGCCGCGGAACTGCCCTCCGAACAAACTCATGGCGAGTGTGTCCAGACACGTCAATGGCATCGAGCGTGTCCATTAGTTGACGCCACAACAGGTCGTAAAGTTTGTTCGGGTCTTCGTGGCCTCAGGGCGCTACGGGAGCGAGTACTGCCGCGACGGAGCACCAGCTGACAGGCTGCTTCCCTTCAGTGCGCTACGCGGAGGGCCTGTCTCGCGACAGCGACAAACGCCGTTAAAATTTCATTTCCTCGCCACATTCTTCGTGAACCCGTAAGAGAACCACGTGCCAGACACGTTAGCTAACGTGACAGCGTAGCATTGCACGCACTTCCCGAGCCTGGGCTGTTTTCTTGAGCGTAACTGAATGTTTTATCGACAGCACTTTTGCTATCTTCATGACTGTTGACAACCGCAGACCGTTGTCCCGCCCTCATAATTGCTTGCCAATTACGGACAAACACTTATCCCAACAAAACCCACATCCGAGAACATCGCTAATGTCGCGCCAGGGGGATGCATTATCCGTAATGGAAAACTCTGTCCTCCATTGAACTGAAATTGCTGGACCGGCGGGTTGCCCATGCCGCGAACGAGCGTTTTAACCGATCAGGCAGCATGGAAAAACGGGTGCGCGCCACCCCCGTCACGTCAAAGATTGTTTACAGAAATCTGCGAAAGTCGCCGCGAAGCTTTAGACAAAGTAGCGCTGCTTCTCCCCGCGATACCGCCGTCGCGGGGAACGCACGTCACAGCAGTCGATGAGACTGTCGTTGGACCCGCTTCCCCTGGTGGCATGGCGAGCTGGTGGTAATTGGTGCGCAGTAGTAAGTAAAACACGACGGTGAAAGCATTTCCCAAATCGGTTGAGAACTCGGCCTGCGCCCGCTGATAAGAGCGTTACGCTACAATGATGCTGCTGCCACCGAACGGCAAGAGAAATCCAGCTTAAAGGCGTTTCGCCGAGTGCTCGCTCACTGCACTTGGCCGCGAAATAAAAGCAGTAACAAGTGAGCTATTAATGCTCCATTCTGCTCCATCGTGCAGTACTTTGATATTGGATGATCACTGAGAACATTACGCAATGGTGTTTTGTAACGTTACTGTAGTTCCGAGGGTATTCATGTCGCTTCTTCCTAGGCATTACAAAAGCCACAATGCTTAAGGTTATTAGACTCTCGCCGGCCCACCATGTTCTGCGACTAACGAGACAATCTATTAGGTGACCATATTGAGATTAATAGCCGACCGTCAGAAATGTTGTCGGCGCTTCCACTTGCTTGTCAATCATAAGCAGGAAGTAGTCTATGGCCGCGAAAACATGAGCCTTGTCTTCATCACGCCGTCCTAGGCTCCACTGTAGTAAGCATTTGCATGCATGACAATCCAGAGCACCGCGTGCCCAGCCGCAGACGGCCTAATACAGCGAGCGGCTTGTACGCGGACGTTAGCGGCGGCGGCGGCAGCCGGATTTCCACCGACTCGTTCCCAGTCCGGACACTCGCCCACCTCACCTTCCACCCGTCACAGCACGCCGCAAACGCCCGCACCCGAACAGCTGGCCTTTATTGTGTCCGTCTGCCCGGGCGAGCGCACCCAACCCCTCACTGCGGCATGGGACCCCGGCCGCGGCCGAAGCCGCCGCGGAACTCCATCTGGCCAGCGCCGGCGCCGGCCTCGCCGCGCTTGTCGGGGCCGCCCTCGCCGGCGCGCCGGTACGCCGCCCGGTCGCCCTCCATCTTGGTGCCGTCGGGCCGCGGCGCCGCGGCGCGCGGCCGCGCCGTCTCGGCACGCGTCGGCCGCTTCAGGGTGGCAGGCACGATCTGCGGCGGGGCGGGGGGGCGGGGGGAGGGCGGTCAGAGGGGGGCGAGCAGAGGGCCAAGGGGCGGGGCGACACTGCGGTCAGATGTGAGATGACTTCACAGAGTATCAGTCCACTACTTTTCAGACATCATGTGTGGTGGAGTGAGTGGGGGGGGGGGGGGGGGGGGGGGGGGGAGGAATTGGGAGCTATGGTATACCCAGCAAATGTTCAACAAAGCTGAGAGGCTTCATAACGTGGTCCGAGTAACCAACAAAGCTAAAGCTTGACAGTAAAAGCAGCATACATACAGATGTTCAGGCTTTATAGTGTGATCAGTAAGCACACATCAAAGCTGTCTGGTTTGATGGTGCAGCCAGTCATACCACCAAAAAGCCATGAAGTTCCATAACATGAAGAGTACAATTCAACAAAGCTGATAAGATTTGACAGCATGGCCCATGGTGCCTTGACAACAAAATTATGATGTCTTATCCAGGAGGGGAGTTGACAGGTGACCGACGACAAGCCAGGCATGCAAGGCAGACCCACCTCGGAGGGCAGGTGCAGGAAGTCCCGCAGGTAGGTGATGCCCTCGTTGGTCAGCGTCCAGTAGTAGTGGCGCCAGGCAAACTGCTCCGTGACGTAACCGCGCGACTTCAGGCTCTGAAGAGAACACATCAGTGCTCAGCTTCCACCATGTCAGGCACCCCAAACCCCAATGATGTCAGGAAGGGGCTGCAGGTGCCAATACACAGCAAAAGGGGCTTTATTTTGCACTCAGCTGCTTAGGCTATATGGCTACAGCAAAAGGATTTACTACCAAAAATATCACACAGAAAGTTTCAGAATGACAAAATGAAGCCACCAGACCACATTACAAGACTAGTCTACCATCACTATGTCATCTGCCAGTGCCATCACTAAAAAGTACATGCTAGTGCAAATAATTATGCCATGCCTGATTTGATTAAATACATGTAGATGAAGCATTCTGTCATGGACTAAGTAATGTGGACCACAGAAGTGCAATAACCAAACTTGGCCAGAACTGTGAACCAAAGCAGTGCAACAACCAAACTTGGCCAGAACTGTGGACCAAAGCAGTGGGATAACCAAACTTGGCCAGAGCTGTGAACCAAAGCAGTGAAATAACCAAACTTGGCCAGAGCTGAAACAAAGAAATACCTGTATTCTTTGAGGTTCTCAACATACAAACATGCTCAAATTTGTGAAGTCATGTGTTACAACAGTGCTCATTTAATTTTGCAGCCCACAACATGAAACCTTTTCTTGCCCACACTCCCAATTATCTGCTCCAGTTTCTTCTACTTACCTGCAGGGCCTTCATCACAAACAGGTTGGGGACAGCAACATTCGGATGCTTAGGCTTGTGTGGGTTCTTCATCGCCACCATAACACCCTCCTTGAAGAGGTATTCATAGATGAGCACACGGTCCTTCTTGGGCATCAACATCCTGAAAATGAAGTGGCATGATTAATTCAAGAAAAGGGACTGTTCACACATCTATGATGATTTGTTAATTGGAACCAAAGGAAAATAGATATCACAGTTTACAGATCATACTCAGGCTCAGTGCTTCTAATGGACGAAAAATATATTTGCCTCTTTTTTGTCTTTTTGACCAGTTGAAACAGTTCAAACAGGTAGAAACTGACAGTAACCCCAAGAATCAATATTGACATAAAAACATCAAACCAACACATTTCCCTTACCTAAAAATAACATGCTGGTATAACAGCACCATTTTCCTATAACACGCATTTGTCCTAACAGGTATATAAACTAGGATCTGTAACAATGCCTCATGATCATTGGTCAAAACTGCATGATGAATAACTGCATCTGTAAGTATTAGCAATTTGCAAACAATGGGTAAGTATGGAAGGCACTTATCAATAACTGGCTATTGATGTATAACATCAAGTCAGTGAACTTCAGGGATCTTCAAGAACAACTCATATCACAATTTTTGGACTATGGCAGTTGGTACCAAATCTTCACAGAAACTGCAACACAGCTGTGAGCTCACAACATGTAACTTTCAGTTTCATACATTTGACATGTAGCTTTTATTTACTCATTAATCTCATCCATTGAACTCATCTACCCTACTCACTACTCATCTAATCATCCTACTCTGTACATCTTTGTCAGTGTTCCAATATTCTGCCACTAGACTGGCAAGGATGTCAATATTGTTGCATGCTTTACACCTCAGCTTGAGGCTCACTGCCTGTTGCCTCTCCCCTTGCTCAAACTCAAAATCTACCTATCAACATTAGACCAGGCCACTGTCAACCCAGTATCCAAGTGCCTTAGGCTTCACAAACAGGCTAGGCAGGCCAGATGCCTGCACTCAGGGGTCGAAGGGCAACAGATTAGCATCAACAATGTGTGCGGGGGCTACAGATTGTTAAGATTCCTGCAGCATGAATTCATATTTACATCCTGCACACTCTACTAGATGCATTCTGAAACTCTGTCACACCTGTTGTGTGGCTGCCACAACTGAAACAAAACTGATGCTGCAAGACACATTGCTAGGTTTCATCTGCATCCCTGCATCTCATGCTGGGCCACTCAGAATTAAAGGCATGAGGTGGATAGTAACCACATCATGACCCCTCCAAGTTTGACAGTTGCAGGTCTCCTCTGGCTAACCTAAGCCTGGCAAACACCAGGTCACAGTGGGATCAAATCTCTCCTTGTCATGTCACCTTAATGACCATGGATTCATAACAGTTTTGACTACTGGATACTTTAGCTGGCCATTCTAAGGCTTTACAAAGAGTGTAAATTGAATTGGTTTATCATGTATTTGTACTGCATTTTTCTCTCCAGCTAACCTAGCCATTCTCTGCCAGCCATAGCATATTTCTAAGCCACCTGACAAGGTCACCAACCAGGGGTGCAATGCCCTAGCACACAGATAGTATAGGTCAGGTCAGATAGTTCACACTGATACCAATTTGGCAAAAAGTAGTGGTGTTTTCAGACAATGATTTGGCAGCCTCAGCCTTAAAAGATGTTGCAGATGACTGTATGTTGAGTGACTAGCTTGGAAAGAATGTGTGAAATAAGCACAGACCACATGGTCTCATATCACATTCTTGGATGTCTCAACCAGTGGCAATCAACCCTGAGACACTAAGTCAGACTACTACTAGAAACATAGTATACACTTAACACAGGCAAAATGGCCCAAGATCATATAACTGTAAACCATTGGGTAGGCCCATAATTCCACAGGGGTGCATGCTAAAATTTGCAATGGGGAAGCAGAACCAACATTTTTACCACATGTGAGTGTTCCAACACATGGAATTTCTAGTGTGCTGTAGACCTGCACTGCGTGTTCATAATCTTGAAACATTAATGATTGCCTGACATTCACACTGCAAGAGGATATAGCATGCCATGACTGCCATAGCTGCATTCCAAAATACTTTTTTGAAGGGTCAGGATGCAAAAACACATGAAATGCTCTCAAAAGCTGACTTCAAAACATTTTCAACAAGCCCATGACTTGACAGCATAACTAGGCTCACATGATAGTATGAGCAATAGACAAAATATGTTTATGGTTCAACTGTGGTTAGAGAAATAAGGTAGAAAAACAAACATCCAAAGCATGCCAGAGCTGGAAGTGTACCCAACCATAGTAATAGCTTGGGGTAAACTTGGAGCCGGATGCATTTCAATTGGCTATAAGATAAGATTTTGTCCAGTACCCATTACACAGTGGTGCAATTATGTGCACTAATATATGTGCAGCATAATTTTGGCATTTAAGTGATCAGGCATTCCCATTCAGAATGCAGCTCCCTGCTTCATTACATGCTGCCAAAATGCTGATGCTTCCTCCATCAATGTCAGAGATACAGTTATGCATGGCTTTTCATGTAGACAATGTTTTGCAGCTCACCACAATTGACCGAGAATTACTGCAGGATTTTTCATGATTGTCTCATGATCATATCATATCAAACAGCCAGGTCAACTGCAGAATTGGGCACACTGCATGCACAGCATGGCAGCTGCATGAAGCAGGCTGAATCTTACTAAGTTCTGATAACTAAGATTTTGCAGGATACCAGATACAATTATGACAGCCTTGATTCTTCAGTTTCAATATGTATATCTTTTGCTAGTCGCAATGACACTGCTAGAGCAATAATACTTTCACAAAATGTTTAACACAACACATAGAAAGCTACATTCCTCTGTTTGGTTTAAGTTTCATTAATTGGATGCATAGAACCAATATTTCAGGTATTTAACATATTCATAGACAGATAATAAATTGCTCATACAGCCACTTCACCTGTATGTTGCAGCATAAAAATACCCCAGTAATAACTTTTTAACAGTACAGCAACTTCTGAGCTTTCAGCTTTTACTTAACAGATTTTAAAACCTGACAGGCTTTCAATATTTACCATAATGTATTCACCACACCATGACTCAAGTAACTGACTTATAATCCTTCACAACACCCCTATGCTCAAAAACAGGAGCAGCACCAGGCTATGATTATCTCCTCCAAGACCCCACAATTCCATACCCAAGGTGTGAACAGTAAATAAATAATGCCAAACCCAGCCAACTGACTTAATCTAAGCTTACGTTGAACCTAAATCCAATTATCACGTGGACCCTTCGAAACAAATATTGAATTGAACAGTGCGCTACAACCGCCGCGTGGGCACGTTGGCATTATAATTCCCTACATACAGCGTCAATCACAGGACTGACGTCCCAAACCTATAGACAAATGGTAGAAACAGGAAGATAACACCGAAGAACTCTACACAATCCCTATAAATAATTTGTTCGACGACGAATTAGCTTGCACTTACTTTGGGCCGCTTGCGCCAGAAAGGTACGCAGTAAAGAGGGCGCTACTTGTTTCCGCTATAAGTCCCCAGATTTAGGGCTACCATATGTGCCGACTTTAGAAGTCGTCACTTCACATTAGATAGATCGCTAGATTTCCGTGCCCAACGAGAATCTGCCATGAGAGGTCTCAGGGGTCCTCAAACATCGGCGTGGGAACATGGGGGGGGGGGGGCAGGTGGGGCATGGCCCCCACTTTTTAAGTTGGGGGGCGGGCAGCGGTGTTAGCTGTCCCCCCGCTTTTGAGATTAAGGTTGCGTTTAGCTTACTTTTGCACCACATTTAAATATACATGCTGATTTACCTAGTTCACCAGCCATCTTCGTCAAGATGCGTCATCTTTTTCGTTTGCTTGTTGACCGTCGCTTAGTATCACAGCCACAGTCCGACGCCACGCGGCCCGTGGAGACTGCAACGACGGACGTTCAGCCTTTTGATGCTCTGACTTGCGACCGCGTATATTTAAAGCCATATGACATAGTTTTTTAACAGTAATCAATGCTGACTGAATCTTGAACATTTTAAGACGAACATTGATTAGCCATGCTAATACAAGCTTAGGTACCCATTTCGTCTACAATCTACGTTCGGGGATTCCTCAATATCTCTGAAGAAAGCAGAAAGGCAACGGAACCGGAGCCTGCGTGACAATTATTGGATCACTTTTGGCGATCAGGGATGCTCTTGCGTCAATGAGGGTTCCTGTGTTGATTCGGGGCCAACTGCGCGGGTCAGAACGCCTCCCGTGTGATGGAGGGGAGCGATGTGATATGATATATCCTTCCGATGCCCACCGGATCGACGAGGAGATCCCGCCCTGTGTTGCTGGAATGACAGCCAGAAGACACTTCGCGATGGGACGGCGTGGCCCTTTAGCTCTTGACCGGAATCGGTAATGTGCCCTTGGTGTTCTACTCAAGGGGCCCCTTGCCCGGAAATAAGGGGCCTCATTATTGTTGAGTAGAGTTGAGCTCTCATTATTGCTGAATAGAGTAGATCGAAATGAATTTTAAAAAACGAACAATGCCATCCCATGTTTGCCTAAGAACGCTCATTTTTCAGAATGGATTGATGAAAAAAGTGCATCAAAAAGTTTGAGCATGCCCGCCCGCAGCCTCAAGAGCAAGGACAGCGATGGTCTGGGTTGCAGCCTCCGAAAAACCGAGCGGCTTCGGTCACTGCAAGTGCCATCAGCCGGCGGGCACCCTGTTAGTCTGTCTTCTGGACAAATTGATAGTTACAGAAACACGAAAAGTAGAGAATCTGCCTTTACTCTTCCAGTTCCGTCACCAGATTCCGGCACCACTTCGCGGAGCTTTAAGGGCCAATCCGGTCTTATCATCAGTCAAAAAATCGCACACGTGAAATATGCACTCAGACTGCCTTGTAGATGTAATGTTTGTTTCCTAAAGCGTTCAAAGGTACTTCTTTCATAAGCGTCCTCATTTTCGTCCAACCGTAGGCGACGGCTTAGTATTAGCTGTTGAGCCGATGCTGCGCGGCTTGCGGAGACTGCAACGCCTTGAAGCGAGGTTGTTTAACTGACAGTTGCGAGTACGCATGTTCAAAATTATGTCACATAACTTTTATTACTAACCGATTCAAGTTTTTTAAGGTAATTGTTTCACAAACATTATCATTTTCGTCCACCGGTGGACCATGGCGAAAGTCAACCACTGAGTTAACCGCTCTGCGGACTATGGAGACTGCAACGCCTGGTGTCGAAGTTTTTGTTGCTAAGATTTGCGAGCGCGCATGTTAAAAACCACGTCATATAAATTGTACCACTAATCGATTCTGACTGAATGTTAAACATTTCCAGACAAACATGGCTTGGCGATGTTAATACACATTGTTGACCACTCAATCTACAATCAAAATTTTCATGCTCAAATTTCGATCAAACATCGATCTACAGTCCACCTTCGCGATGTCCTCAATGTGTGTAGAACGCACATGGAACATTTTGAAAAACCTTCCGAATTCTATCGGTTCAGAAATAGTCCACTATGCGATTGCAAATTTAGGACACCTGTGATTTATTCCATGCGGTCGTTAAACGCCTGATTTCTGCGGTTCATTGATTTTAACACGCACTTGGGTGGGTTGTCAAATTGACTCGTTTCCCAAAGTTTTTTCAGAATGGTTTCCGAACGGCGCGGCGCAGCCACGCCGTGTTTTGCAAAGCTATAGACAATTAAAAAGCGGATTGCTTGGCGTCAAACATTTAGATGTACTTTGTGAGATCGCTGACCTATCGCAGGTCAAAGTCAGGCCATGGTTTCAGCGAAGTCAACTTCTAGGGAATCGTTCAATCTGATGCAGCAGTGGAATGTTAGACGAAGCCATACATCTCTGAGATGCTTTCTTAGGCAACACAAATATTGAATGAGCAAATTACGTTTTTTACAAAACGAAAATCATTAGTCACTTCGAAAGATTGAAATATCTCCATCCACCTAGTTTTTCTACGAAGAATAAGGCTATTACTACTGCGACATCAGATTCTCATGTTCAATTTGGAATGCAACAATGCAAATTTAAACCAACAACTCTCAACATGTTAAGTCGCCTTGTCTAGATTTTGGGACTGAATGTTAGCCGGAAAACCTTAAACACACCCGTATGAATTTGGTGAGCTGATTCAAAGCTTCCACGTACTACGCGATGGGGATCGCTTGAAACCTATCATCTATTGTTCCCTTGACCTCAGCGATTTTATGCGGCCACCATGGGTGTCGATTTCCGAAAATAATTGGGGGGGGGCAGATTCGTGGAAGTCGTCACAAGGAACAGGGCCAAAAACTTCTCGGATTTTATGCCTAATGTTCCGGTTATCAGTTATATATATATATATATATATATATATATATATATATATATATATGTCATGCTTATACATCACTTTAAAGCTTATATGCGTAGCCGCGGCAACCATGCGTGGTAGAAGACTCGCAGATTGCATTTGCTTCTTATAAAGGCACCCGTTATGTGAAGCTGGACCGATGCAGCTGCAGCTTCTCTGGCACAATGAGAGATTAAATTGGCGTATGATTTACCACTGCATGCTTAGGATTTTTCCAAAGTCATTCATCCGCTCACAAAAATCGAGTGTCCAGTGTCCACGATATATGTGACTATTACCAGCCATTTATAAGCAGTTTTTCGATGCACCGAAATTTAATCGATGAAAACGTGCATTTTAGTGAATATCAATCTTAACGAATTCATGCAAAGTGCTTTTTACGTTCATTCTACGTTAAAGTTAAGGACATGATTTTCGATCTTCCACAGATATGCTGAGGCAGGTGCCTCCCTGTCGGGAATTCATTTCCCCGCTTTTTTCGATAAACACGAAATGTAAACCAGCTTTACGTCTGAGGGACACTGTTTCATGCTGTTGGGCCTCTGAGACGAAAGCGGTCCTCACCCGTTTCATTTCGAGCGGGTGAAAAATGAAACATGAAACAAACACAAACAACAAACACACAAACATGAAACACACAAATGTCGTGCGTAATGAAGGTTGATCGTAACAGCGTTGTTAATTGAGCTGGCTTTTCGGTTACCACGCGATGATACTTACGTACACATACTCGGTGCTCAATGGGTGTACCGACGCAAGAACGCAGTCAGAGTCTTGGTAATTGTGGGGTGGCACTCAGGGTTGGCCAAGCCCTCCCCTTGCGGAAAGGTCCCCACCCCGGAAAAAGAAGTCATCGGATATGACCCACTTGATTTCGAGGGGGCCCTGTTCTTCTTAAAAACCGGTAATCATCAATGGATACAATTCTGTTTGTGTTTTGAAGTCGAATAACTGAAGGAAACACACCGGTGCTATAAATTGTACAATGTTTCAGTGGACACTTTCTAAGCCGATTGCACTCAGGGGCTGTACAGGAATTTTTCTAGGTTGTGCAGGGACATCGTGAACGTGGATCTTAGATCGAAATAAGGTCGTGAATTTGCATTTGCATCGACCTGCTTTGATCTCAGAATAATCAACTCTGGTCAGAATGAAGTAGGGAAACAGTTACATGGCCCAGTTTTGTCCATGCGCGCTCGCAAGTCTTACAAGAACGCGACGCCCTGCGTTTCAGTCTCCGGAGGCCATGTTGCGCCGGTCCCGTCCCTTACGTTAGGCGGTGGCCAACGGGCGGACGAAAACAACAACCATTCTGAAGAAAGTACCTTCGAACGTTTCAGGATGTCGACTGGAGCGCCTGGAAGGTGGTCCGGAAGTCTGCTTCATCTGTGCAATTCTTAGATTTATGATATTAGCATTCATGGCATTCAGATTAGTATTCACGGCATCTCGAACCGTTGCAAAAATTGCATCGTAGAATTAGATAAATGAAGATATCATCTCTATTTGCGTGTTACTGTCGCCGTTTGTCTCCTCAAAGGATAAGCTAAAAATAGCTCAAGTGGAATGTACGACGCAGTGAAATTTCCTGAAGAGCACGAACTGATCTTAAAAATGTTTTGGCAGCATTATTTTACGATGACTGTTCTCGGGCGGCAGGCGCCCACCACTCGGTGTTAGCTACACTGGCCAACGCCGCTCGGTGTTATGGAAACTGCAACCTCGGCCATTGCCGCTCTTACTCCTAATGTTGTGAGCATGCAGGCCCAAAACTGTTTATGCAATTTGCTTCACGTCACACGGATCGACGCTTCGTTGGTGTTGGCCTTTTTCATTTTTGACCGCATTGTGATCTACCCTGTTGAACACTAACGAAACGCCTTTTCTTTCGGGACCAGCTATATTTACCAGCCAGGGGCTTCATGCCAGTTGGTTACAGCGTGGGGGTGCCTGCCGGCGTCATGCCGGTGACACATGGCCGGGATCCCCTGGTCGTTACGGAATCGCTTTGAGAGGTACACCATACACAGGTCGCCCCTTTGACGCCGGAGGCCTCCTGATCCGGTCATTTGCCTCCAGATAGGAGCAGGGGCCCTCGTTGATGCAAAAGATCTCCTATCGTCGCAGGTGCTCAATAACTGGCGTAGTGACTACCGC